CTAGATTAGCACATGACCGACCAGATCTAACCGGTTGTGTGTTGTTCTAGTGATGTCAGCTATTGGTGGCTGCCGACGGCCGACAATGGTGCCCAACGGGAAGTAGTGGTCTTGGGTGACCTGCAATTTGTTTTAAATACAAGGGTATTACTACCTAAAAACTTAATTAATTAGGGGTAAAATTATAATGGTATATTCATGTAAATCAATTTCAAAATAAGGGCATCATTGTCCTAAATTTTTTATCAATTACAGGGTAAAATTGTAACAAAAATAAGATTACTAAGTCATCTCATAATACCTAAGAAAATAATGGTATTCAGATTACCACATATATAATCAATAGTGATTACTATTTATTTTGGAAGATTACTAGAATCTTTTATTATTTGACAACCAAACGTGATAATGTAAGTAATATAAGATGATATTACCTCAATAATAGGGGATAACCCCCAGCTAAACGCCTCTTAAGAGATTCTAAGACATAGATGAAATGAGGGAACCAGACAGCCTTTAATAGATTGAAGAAAGGTGTAGATGGAATCAAATCAAGATGAATTTCATACGACCTTTCTTGTTCGTATTAAAACGTTTTTCTTTTGCTTTTCCATATACTCTTTCTTGTTAATAAGAACTTAATTTTATGCTTTTCTTTCTCTTGTTTGACTGTTGCTCTGATTCATATTGCCTTCTCTTCATCCCTCTCCTTTCCAACTTTACTTAATTTTTCAATTGATCTTGTTATTATCTTCCTCGTCTATTTTTCAAAAAACAGAAACTACCAATATAAAAGAGATTCAAAAAACAATTGCAGAGTCGTTAAGTCTACAATTGAAGGAGGCCGATCTTGGGGGATGTAAACTACTACTCACAGCAAGAAACGTAGATGTTTTGAAGAAGATGGGTTCGACAAATAATTTCCAGATTCGTTTTTCAAACAACAAGCTATAAATATTTTCTTTTTCTTATATTTTTCATTGGTTGTCACAATTTTGGTTGTTTGTTTTAGAGTCTTCGCCCTTCCATTTCTCCAAAGAAAGTTTCCTACATTTTAGTTTGTTAGTAGCACATAAATTTGCTGTTTTTTTTTTCTTTTTTTCTGTGTGTGGTTTGATGAGAATAAATAAAAAATTTTCAAGTTATTATAGTCACGAAAAAATTTCAAATTTCCAAGTTATTAGATACCATTCCCGACTTAAGACAATTGCTTTATGCGTTTAAGATCACATTAATAACTATATTTCAGACCAATTTTTGTTTAAGCCAAATTCTGTTTAGTTTTCCTCAAATCATTTTTGCTTCATAATTTTTTCTTTTCTTTCTTTTCAATGCTGTAATAGGACTATTCAAAAAGAAAAGTAGAGCAGAGTGAAAATCTAAATTAAATATTGTGAGCATAACAAAATGAAATAATTAATATTGCACATCTTATTTAAGGATAGTTACAATTAATTCTTTATTACATTTTTTTTTTTTTTTAAAGTTAAAGTTGCATATTAATATGAATATAAAATTCGGATTAAATTTTTATTAAGTGATGACTAGGGGTGCAATCAAGTGAGTCGAGTATCTAGGTATTCGAACTTGACTCGATTGCTACAATACTAAGTTTGAGTTCGAGTTTGAGCCTGGTTGGATTTGATGAATTGAGTTCGAACTCAAACTTGGTATTCAAAAGTCGAATTCGAGTTCGAATTCAAGCTTGATTAATCGACTTTTAATCAAGCTTAATCAAGCTTTTCGAGCTTTTTATACAGTAATCAAACTCGACTCATGGGATTATTTGAGCTACTTGAACTCGAACTCGACTCAACTAATGTCAAGTTGAATTCGAACCGAACTCGAGCTGATTTTCACCCCTAGTGATGACCTAAATAAATTTCCTCAGGCCTAGACTATCATTGAGCTGGCTCTAAGCATATCTACAAAAGAATATAAAATTTAAACATGATTACACAATATTTGTATCCAAGCACATCTTTTTTCGAAATTTTATTAACTAACACTCTTTTTCTGTTAGAATGATATAAAATTACAATGAATGGTCTGGAATGATATATAAAAAAGAAATTATAATTAATCTCTTTTTAAGTCCTAATAATAATTAAAATCATTTTAAAATATAATTTACAAATACTTTATATTTCATTGCATGATTACCGTTCTCTTTTGTATTTTCTCGCTAAATAGTTTTAATAATCCCACCATCTATTTTTTTTTTCCCTTGGATTAAATTTTGGACGCTTTTGTCTCAAGTTAAATCCCAATGCATTGATTCAACAGCGGCATATTTCTTCTTTAAAACCTTATTGGATATTACGCTTTATCATAATTATATTTTATTTTTTCATTAAGAAAATAAATAACAAAAGATCAACCAAAAGAAAAATCTGGAAAAAAAAAAAAACTTACTTTTTCATGTTATTATCTTTCGTTGATTGAAATAGTATATCATCACTACACTTCAAAATACTTTTAACCTTAAAAACAAAATTCCAAACATATAAAGTGTTTAGGGTTTTAAGAAATAAAAAGTTTTTAAATATTTTTTTAAGAGACTTAATGCCTTTTTGGTAAATACAAATTAAAATATAGTTTTAAAAAAAGTATTGTTGAGGTTTAAAAGGAAACTGGTCGGGACTCTAATTTGAATTACTTTCCGTAGTTACAATGGTGCTTGAAGACAAGCCAAAAGTAATGGGTGGACTCTATCTTTAAACCCATTCCAAAACAAAAGCCCAATTTTGAAATAATAAAACAAAGTGGATCTATTGGTAATTTGGCACCCAACTATTTTCCCATAAACCCTTATTTTTTTATGTTATTCAAATCATACTTAAAACAAAAATATAGTTTAATGGGATCCATCAAGTTACAATTAATACAAAATTTTAAGTTTTTAATTGCTTGTTAATTTTTTTTTTTTTTAAATTCAAGTTATATCATTAATGAAAAATTAGTTGACAATAGAAATTTCATGTTTACAAATGCCGAATATGGTTTTATGTTTTAATAGAATTGTTTATTTGCATATACAATATTACTAAAGAAAATAATTTAATTTACTCTTTTAAAATAAAATAAAAACGAAATGAAGGGCATTTAAGGAGTTTATAGGGTGTCATAAAAAAAAAAAAAATTAATTTAATTTTTAAATAGAGTGTCTATCAGTTGTTACAGAGTATCAAAATTTTTGAAGTAGCTTTATATGAATCAATGGTATATATATTTGATTGTGAACAACTTTAGGTTGCAAATTGAAGAAACAAAGACACTCTCGTTATGGAAGTATCTAGATTTGTTCAGTTAAAGTGAGACGATGCATATATGAAAAGGTGATAATCAATAAGTAAGTCTTTCTAATCTAACGAGAATATAAGTGAAATATTGCCCAAAGTTAGTAAAACTGTTTTCAGTTGCTCTAGTATGAAGCATTTTTAGCTTGGAAGAAATGAGGATTACTCTGTGCAACAATTTGGAGATCTTCGAGAAGAAAGAAGAAGATGATCAGGAAAAGCATATAGTTGTATGGAGAAAAGATCACTTCTCAACTTCTCCAAGTCTGGGAAACTTGACTATTTTAAGATTACGTTATTGTTATAAATTGAAAAACTTATTCACCACATCCACAACCAAAACCTTGTTAAAGCTCAAAGCATTTGGATTAGTGTATTGCAACACTTTACAAGAGATTGTCACAAACTAGGAAAGAGTATCAATAGAGAAGATCATGTACCCTAGTTTGCATGAAATGGAACTTAAAGATTTACGCCTCACTTGTTTTAACTTAAGGTTTGTATGCTGTTGAATACCCAACTTTGGAGAAAGTATTTCTATATGAATGTTCAGAAATGAAGACCTTCGGTTACCAAAAAAAAAAAAAGACACCTAGGTTAAACAAAAATGTTGACACTTTGATAATTTGGGTAAGAGAGAACAACATTTTTCTATGGTTTGGCGAAACAACTCTTTCCCACCTTTCAAGTTTCAACATGACACTTTCCCACACTTTGTTAAATTTTGTTACGTTCTCTGTTAATATTTTATTGAAAAGACGAAAATACTTTTAAATATTTTACTTTATAAAATTTTTATTATTTTTTAATTAGCCAAAAAGTCAAATATTTAAAAAAAAAAAAAATAGTTAACCCCACCTAAAAAGTTAAAAGTAATGCTATGAAATTGTTTAAAGTTAAATGACCTTAATATTTATTTATAATGTCATCAATATCTTATCGTTGTTATTCAATAATCTACTAAATTTATAATATTTTTCATAATATAATGTTTTTCATTTTTACTGATTAACACAGAAAATCAATATTCCTAATTAATTAAACAAACAAAGGAAAAAAAAATATCTTTACACTTAAACTAATAAATAATTAAGTAAAAATTTTGACTTAACTAAATTTTATTTTATAATAAACTATTTAAGGGTATTTTTGTCTTTTCAATCAAATATTAACAAAAAAACACTAACAAAACCCTATAAAGGGTGGAAAGTGTCATTTTGAAACTTGACAGATGGAAAAGTGTCATTTCACCAAACCTTGGGTGGGAAAATGTGGTTCTCCCTTTGGGTAAAGAATGTGAAGTAGATTGGATGGGTAACATTAATGTCACAATGCAAAAATTATTCAATGAGCAAGTATGTCAAACATTATGTTAATGTATTTTTCATATTATTAGAGCACAATAATTTTTTTTGTCTTTATCCTTTTATTTTATAGGATCAGCTTATATCCATTTAATTTTAAACTAATTAATAGCATTTACAAATCATAATCCAACGGATTGAAATGTGATACAGTGGTATATGAAAATTTATATCATCATTTAAAAAATATATATATATACACACACACACATATATAGAGTTTTGGGCCTATGTTGTAATATGGGTTTTTTAAGTTCTTTGTCAACCCCAATTGGGCCCATTAATTTTAGCCCATAAAAACCCAAGCCAAAGCTAGGGTTTTTCTCAACTCTCTCCAGTTAAAACTCTCTCATATATAAGCCACGCATCACCTCCTGCCAAAGCCCTTGTGCTCTCCGTTTCTTCTCACATCAGCTGCAGTCTCGTAAGTCCATTTCTCTCTTTCAAGCAAACCCACAATTTAACTTTCACTCTCAATTTAAAATTTAAACTTTTTTTTTTCTTTTGGTTTAAACATTTTCAGCAAGACGGTAAGTGAGAAATGGTGAAGCATAACAACGTTGTGCCAAATGGGCACTTCAAAAAGCACTGGCAAAACTATGTAAAGACTTGGTTCAACCAGCCCGCGAGAAAGACCAGGCGCCGCGTTGGTGGGTATCTTTTTAATTTTTAATTTAGGATTTTTAAATGGTTGTTTTGATTGATTTGTGTTGTGGGTTCGAATTTGTTTTTTGGTGTTGAATAGCTCGTCAAAAGAAGGCCGTGAAGATCTTCCCTCGTCCGACGGCGGGCCCTCTTCGCCCCATCGTTCATGGGCAGACTTTGAAGTACAATATGAAGCTCAGGGCTGGGAGAGGCTTCTCGCTTGAAGAACTTAAAGTGAGTTCTTTGGTTGATGCTAGCTTTTTATTTGTGTCTATATCGCCTCTGTATCGTGATACATGAGCTTGTTACTTGTGTTTATTCCGGAGTTAATAGGTGTTACTAATGTATTATGATTTAGAGATTAATTTTGAGTATTTGTAGGTGTTAAATAAATATTTTTGAGTGTTTAATGCATACAAAGTCATTTTGAATTGTCCTATATAAATGTTTGTTTGTTTGTTTGATATATCTATGGTGGGTAATAGCTAGTTTAGTTTGGCTTTGAATGGTGGATCTTTAGATTGAGTTCTGCTCATGCTCTGAAGGAAGGGGGTTAAATTATAAATTTTAAGTTAGAAAAAGTTATTTTTTTTATGGATGGTCACTCTTCATAAATCTTATGAACTCATTGAAAGTTTCTAGTTTGAACAAGTACTTGGTATCTTGTTTCTGGATCCTGTAGTTCAGTGTTTATATACTATATACTTCTTTGTCTTGAGGTGTGTGAATTTCTTACTCATTGGGAGTGTCTGAAACAAATGTTGGATAATTGAATTGAATAGGATTGAGAAACTTGAATAATCTAAATCAAAAGTGCTCTTAGATTTGAAGGTAATAGTAGTCTTAAAGGTATATTGTTTAATTTTGATTACTAGATATGAGTGAGACAATTCGTTTAGTGACATTTCTATCCCATTGTTTTGATACCCTACTGAAGAATGGAAATTAATAAATGTACTTTGTAAATAAGATGAAACGATACCGCAATGTAAAAATGTTATTTCTACTACATTTTAGATTACACTACTGAAGTCTCCATTTTGCTGGTCTGATAATGTGGTATGGAATAGCCCATTTTACGTATTTCATTTTAGTTCCTGTCAGACTAAGGGAAATTAGAATTGGGTTGATGTTGCCATCAGGAATGTAGAGTTATGTTTACATTGTGAGTGCTGCATATTATATTTTTAATAAGAGTTTGGTTTTTTGGTCTGTTTTTCTTTTTTTTGGTCTTCCAATATTTGTTGATTTTCTTGAGTTTCTAGTTTGGTCTTCTAATATCTGTTGATGTTCTTGAGTTTCTTTCCATATGCGGATGTAACATTCATGAGTTTCTTTTCATATCTAGACGTAACACTGTATCTGTCTTAATTAGGCTGCAGGAATTCCCAAGAAGCTTGCTCCAACCATCGGTATATCAGTTGATCATCGTCGTAAGAACCGATCTCTGGAGAGCCTTCAAGCTAATGTTCAGAGGCTGAAGACATACAAGGCCAAATTGGTTGTCTTCCCAAGACGTGCTCGCAAGGTCAAGGTAATTGGAAAAGACAGATGTTTGTCAATTGCATTTTATTGCTACCATTTCTTATGCTCAAATTCTTTTCTTTTTTCTTGATGTAGGCCGGTGATTCCGCTCCAGAGGAACTGGCAACAGCAACCCAAGTACAAGGACCCTACATGCCGATCACCCTTGAGAAGCCCACAGTGGAGCTTGTGAAGGTTACTCAAGAGATGAAGTCCTTCAAGGCATACAACAAGCTACGCGTGGAGCGAATGAACACACGCCATGTCGGGGCAAGGCTGAAGAAGGCTGCAGAGGCTGAAAAGGAAGAGAAGAAGTAAACAAGGTCCGACTTTTATAGGCAGCAGCATTTTGAAGTCTAATGTGGGACTGCTTTTTGCACTTAGATTTTGATTCTGTTTGTTATAGTTATTTGAGACTTGTAGTTTTAGTTTTGATGACATGTGTTCAGTTTATGAGGTTTAAGATTTCTTGGCTATATCATTTGTGTGAACCTTTGCCTGTCTTGGTTTTGAGTATTTTATTTAAAGAGGTAAAATTCTGGCACTCTTAAGCCTTTTTATTATGACCACTTAGAAGTATAATATCCCAAGCATTTTTTATTTTATTTTGGGTAATGGGGTGTTTGGGTCAACTTGAACACTTCTTAACTAATTCTTCAAGGCTTTGATATTAATGATGGGATAAACTTTCCAATTCTTATCCTTGGATGGTTAGAAAGTACAAACTTGTTTTGACAATAAATTTCAAATGCAAACGTCGTGTTCTTTTTCTTAATTTTCAGTGTTATAAGCTAATTGGGGACAATAGTTGATTGGAATTCATACATTTATTATTATGACTTTATCAACTCAAAATAAGAAATAGAAATGAGTTTATTTTTAAATGACCTCTAATGATTTCTAACTCCATAAGGATATTTTTTTAGTCCCCCCTTATTTATTAAAATGTTTACATCTAACAAGTTATTTAAACTTTTAAAGTAAACAGGGCATTTTAAAGAAAGTATCATTTTATATTTTAAAACTTGTATAAGTTTTATGTTTTAAAAATATCCCTTTCAGTTGAAAGTAACTATTGAAACTTATTTTTACAAGGTATAAGGCTTTACAGGGTATTCTCGACAGATAGGTTCTGCCATAATACAATATGATATCAACATATTAACGTAAAATTTGTAAACCCTTAACGTGAAACTCGTAAATTCTTATTGTGAACCTTGTAAGCTGTTAATATGAAACTTGTAAAATACACTTTATACAATATTTGTATAATAGATATTGTGAGTAATCCCGGATGGTTAAGATAAATTAGTGATAGTGTAAATAGAATCGGTCTAAATCGATTTTTCGTCTGAACATCTGTGATAAGCGAGAGTCATAGGTGAGTTGTTATACTATCTCTTCCAAGATTAGTAGAAGTTACATAAGAGCTTAAACACTTGGATACCAAAAAAATAAAAAAAAGAACTGTATATAGGAAAAACTTCGACATTACCTCACTTTAAAAAACCCAAAAAACAATACACAAAAACTGCTGACGGTCTACCTTCAAAACAACCTTGGTAATGAGTTTTCTTCTCAATTTCCCTATTTATTTTATTTTATTTTTAAGTTTTGTTGATTCAAACTGATTAAATTTTCATTCATCATCTTACTCAGCCTCAAAATTTTAAATTCATTTCTTATATTTTATTTCATCAAATTTTGAATTGACTCCATTATGTTTGTTCAATGCCTCAATGAAGTTGACCCCATCAAGAATCATTATGAGACGATGAAAATAGTGGCAAGTGTACACAGTTGGGAGCAACCGCAAGAGGAGCAGCTTACGCTTGTCGCCGTCTTTTATTTGCTCCAACTTCGCTAATAGTTCCAGGTTTCACTCTTTCGATGTAGGTGTTGTCGTGGGGCGTCTGATATGAAAGTTAGTCATGTCTTTGATTTCTTCTTTCATGATAAGATGTACTGGGTTTGTTTCAGGAAGAGAGTTCAAGTGGTTAATTCCATGGAGGCTGTTGGTAAGCCACCGGGAATTCAAGCAATGTTGAACACTAGTGCCTTGCAGCCCAGCAAATACAGGTTCTTTTTTACTTTGTTTTGTACAGAGAGTCTTGGTGGCACCAGCGCAACATTGTTGTACATTTCGAATGCCTGTTTGATAACATCTCATCACCTAATAAACTAAATTCTTATTTTTTCGTCTAACCTTTTATCATGATTGATTAATTTTACAAAAATGTATAGATGGTGAGATTTTATGGATACGCGTATGGATAATATGTTAAGTCTGTCCTGTGCAAGACTTTTTCTGGCTGGTAATCATAACTCTGGTTGGATCCCTGTGTTATATAAGAGGTCTCTGATCAAATCTCTTGGTTGTTATATCGGTTTTGAAAAATTAGTACACAGTAGGATGGAAGGGGTTGGTTAAATGTATAATTTAGAGAAAAAAAAAAAATCTCTTGGTTGTTATTATCGGTTTGAACAATTAAGCTGCCATGCTAGGAAAATAATTTAATCATTTTAGTAAAATTTAAAGTATTGCATGGGTTTAAAGCAGCAATTTAAATTTAAACGGCTGGTGTTGGAGGGCCTCTTCATGGGTTTGCGCTTTTACCACATCTCATGCCACTAATGATAAGAAGAAGAGGAAGGAGAGGAGTAAGGAAATGGCAAACAAACATTGGATAAAGTGCAAAGGTGGGGCTGGTGAAGGAAAAGAGGAGAACTCGATCTAATAAGGAGTTGAGTATGATTCGATATAAAGGAATCAGATGCATCGCATGTTCCAGTGATGTTAGGTGAAGTGTTGGAGGTTTTTCGTCATCAAGGAGAATCAGCTCTTTCATTGACTGTACACTTGGAGGGCTGGTCATCCTCTGCAGTAAGTATTGGCTTGTTTGTCACTGCTTGTTTATTTTTTATCTCTAGTCCAAATCCTTTTCTTAATTTTGATATTTACAACTCGCAACAGATAATCAGGGCCCATCCAGAGTTGAAACTTTATATTGGAATGGATGTCGATCCTTTGGCGCATGAAAAGGCTCGAACTCACATCGATTCCCTCTTGGATGCTCATTCTGATTTGAAAGCACATATCTTTCTGAAAAATTTAGACATATAAATCTGTGCTAGCAAGGTTGAGAATCAAGCAAACTCGGAGTGGATGGCATTAATGGACTGGGATGTCCTCTATGCAGGTTTGCTTCAATGAATTGTTGTTGTTTCTCAGTAATATAACTCTTTCTTATGTCTTAAAAATTCATGCTGTCCTGAAATCATGTTTTTGATGTTATGATGATTTCTACTTATAACCAATATTTGATTGTTGATATTTGCCTAGGCTCTCATTATTCATACATCTGACTCCTATTCTCTGTGACTAATGCTCTTTATGCCTAGTGAACAATCCCAAAAGAGGTTTTAGCTGCTTGGTAATGGGCCTTAGACATGAGAAGGACTCTCAGGTGAGAGTTTTATTTCACATATACAAAAGATGAGTCACAACAAAATCTAATTCACATTTTCCATCTCTGAAGCACAATACATTACTTTGGATTTCTAGTGACATCCTATTAGGAACAGAACAGCTTTGCACTCAGGAACTGGCTTTGCTTCACCTATCATATTTAATCACATATTCATACAGTAAGGTAGAGGCTTAGGTTACCTTCACGAGAACTCACTCTCTACGAATCTTCGGCTTTCTGTTTCTCTCCTATGCCCGGAGTTTTATTATACAGTCTTCTTGAGTGAACTTTTATTAGATGTCAATCTTGTAGATCATGGAGCGGCTGGTACATTCTTTAATCATATTTCAGTGTATGTGACCCTTCAAATTCTCGCTTGTGTGAACTGATGAGGTTAGTATCTCATTAAAAAAATATGACTAATACAAGTAATGCCATATGAGGGAATGTCGTGGAGTCACAGATGTTAAATTGATTGATACCCTCATTCTAGCAACTTCTTTACGTTAATGTTCAGCTAGCTTTTAAAGGATATAAGAGTAGTAAGTTTTATATTCAATTCAGTGGTTCTGGTGTCATCCTTCTTTCTTGCTAGTTTGCATGTTTAGTTATCCTTCTCATGTGATCTTTTGCTGGGTGATTAGTGTGATTGCTTACTTTAGAATCTTCTTGTTTACTAAACTGATTGAAACAGGCTTATTTCAGGCAAGTCTGAAAGCAGAGGACATATTAAATTCATGGCTAGACCCCGAAGTGGGTCGAGTCCTGCGAGAATATGGGAAGAAAGCAACTGGCGTTTGCTTCAAAAAAGGATTGTCAAGCTGTCTTCAGGTGGATTGCATTCCACCAGTGAACTGGTAGATCTTATCCGGAAGTGACTCCACGGACTAGAGGTAAGTTATGCTCCATTCATCTATATAGTTCCTACACTTTAGCTACTTCTGCAAAACAAACATGCCTTTTATCATCTGCACTTTACGTTCTCTCTTCGAAGAAGGTTTAAATTGTGGGCTCTATGGCAACAAACTAGGCAATAAAGATTATCAAAACTTGATGTGCTATGTACTTTTCCGAGTAAATAGTATTTATGGAATTAGAATACTATAGGAGGTAGACAAGGTGTGGATAAGCAGCAACAGGGTGTTTCAACTCTAAGAATTGCCGTGAACGATGAACTAAAGACACTGGAAAATTCCCTCTATGCTTCTTTTGATTGTCTTGCTCCTGGGGTAGGCTGCTGTCATTTCTTCCAGTTTGGAGGACAGAATTGTGAAACAAACTTTTCTCAACATCATTGACTGCATAAAGAAGATGATGAAGAGGGAATGGAGACGAGAGAGAAGAAGAGATCTGAAACAGATCAGAAATGATAGTGATGTAAATGAGATGTGGATTAAACAAATGATACAAGGTTGGAATGGAACAATTCTCACAAAGAGACCTATAACACCATCTGAAAAGAGGAAAGATGAATCGCCGCAGCAGGAGTGCTAGCTCAGGGTGATTCAAAAGGCTTGAAAATCATGACATTTCGCGGGAAAACCAATATGTAATCTGTATTAAGCTATATGTATGTTGTTCCACCCTCATCAATTCACTTTCTTGAATCTTCATTGTAGGTTACATGTTTTACCATAATCTTTTGGAATCCTTTTGTTTTACAAAAACTATAACATTTTTTTTTGAATACATTGGAGAAACTATGAGAAAAAGACAGCGAGAGGTTGGATTCATTCCCCATTTTGCGAGGAGCTGGACCTGGACCCTCTTTGGGTTTGTGAAGTTCCTCTAGCTGGGGGAAAAATGGATGTAACCCATAAAAAAATTTAATAAAATAATTAAACAACTGAAAATAAATTGTACATAGTTATGGTTAAATTATTATTGTTTTCTTAAAAAAAAAAAAAAAAAATATATTGTGGATACCAAGTAATTAAAAAAAGAAAAATAGTGGACTTAAGGGGTTTAACATATCAAAGCTCATTTTGAAGGGGTTTTTTTTAAATTCATGATTTTTAAGTTCTTACAAATATTATCAAAAACTTTACAAATTAACAAGAAAACCGTTCTATTCAATTATA